ATCTAAGAGTTGTGGAACAATTTTGAACAGTCAAACATAAGTATAATTGGAATCTCTGGAAGAGAAGAGAGAATGGGAGCTAAATGAGGAAATGGGAATACTACTTAGTATATTTTCATTTTCTTTTTTTCAGCACAGGGCCTTACCTTTCCCTCAGCTGGGCTTTGTCTTTTAAGATTAGCAACTCTCTGGTGCCAATTGGTCAGCGTAAACGTCAAGTCTCTGGCTAGGGATGAGAATAGTTGCTTGATTTTGTGCATGAGGGACAGGATCTGTGGTGTCTAATTACTGTATCTTTTCCAAGGTACATATTTTAATATTTCTGAAAATAGCATGTGTGTTAACGTTGACCAATTGGCAATAAAATGGATTTTTCTTTTCATGTTGCAATCAATTACATATTCAATTTGAAGAAATACTAGCACTATTTTTAAGAAATATTGTAAAACAGAATACAGAATATACAGAAAACCATGCACAACAGCTACATGGCTTAATAACTTATTGTAAGCCAACACTTTGCCTTAGGGTATGGCAATATCTTAATAACCTATTATGCTAATATAAGGCAAACATCCCATATCCACCACCCATCCATAAAACATTGCCAGTCACCTCCAGAGCCTCTCCCATGTACCTGTCCTAACATCTATACCCTTTCCCTTCCCTAGAGCAAACCACTGTTCTGACTTTTGTAGTTATTATTTCCTTGTCTATCTGTATTATCCCTGAAGTGTGCATCCCTAAATAAGAGTTTCGTCTTGCCCATTCTTTAATGCAGAACTTCCCTCTCTTTCCCCCTTTTGTTTACTTTATCTTATGAGAATCACAGGGCATTTAATTCAGTTTCCCAGTCCAAATTTTGATAAATTTAACCTGTAGTTTCCTAGTCTGGATTTTGCTCGTTGCATTAATGCTTCAGTTCAACATGTTCTATTGTCTTCTGTACCGCCTGTAACTTGGCAGGCAGCTGAACCCAGAGGCATGATCCGACTCATCTTTAATCTCTTTGGCAACAGGAGGTATAGAGTTCATTAGGAGTTATAAAATCTGGTTGTCTTTTTGTGATGTTGATAGCAGATGATGTTCAAATTCTAAATCCATTGACCCATTGGGTGTGGCACTTTGGGAGGCTGAGGCAAGAGGATTGCCTGAGCCCGGGGGTTTGAGACCAGCCTGGGTAAAGATCTCGTCTCTACAATAAATCACTGAAACTAGCCAGGTATGGTGGTGTGCATCTGTAGTTCCAGCTACGTGGAAGGCTGAGGTGGAAGGATTACCTAAGCCCAGCAGGTCAAGGCTGCAGTGACCCTGAGTGTGCCACTGCACTCCAGCCTGGGCAACAAAGATTAAGACTCCAAATTAAAAAAATAAAATTAAAAAATAAAATTAAAATTAGAACACCAAAAATAAACTCTTCCCCTTTCATATGCCATCTGGTTAACCTAGCTGTGCAGTTCATAGAGGAAAGCCGGGAAAATGCTTATTTTCCCCTTTATTTCCGTTTTCAAGATAATGAATACTCCACCATCCTCCAACTGTGACCAATTAATTTTAGTGTTTATGATGGAGTTTTGCAGTTATCATTTCTAAAAATCAAGTTTTTCCATATTTGGACAGTCACCTGTTTGCCACAACTCCGGATGTTTTTCCCTCAAATCGTGATGCAACCTTCTCAAAATTTCCAGACAAAAACTTTCGTCGATTGTTTGATCTGAAGGAACAAATTATCCAAATGATAATTCTGGCTTTTCTTGGGTCCTCCCTCGAGTTTATACCAGTATGTTCAACCAAATCCCTAACTCCTAGGAATTCAAAAAATATTTACATATTGTTATATCTTTATCTCCTTTTTTTCACACTAAAAACTGGTTCTCAAGAAAATGGGGGATAAATTTAAATGTCCCATAAATACTCATTTATTCTATCCCATATTATACACAATCTCAAAATATCAGACTACCACTAAGAGCTTTTGCATGTACTTTCTGCATATTACTCTTCCTTTTAACACTTAGTTCAAAGTGTACATGTAACATATGCTTTAATACTCATAACCAGTCTAGTCTCTGTGTCAATATTTCTCTAATTTAATGATGGTTATCTGGAGCTCATTTTTTTGTACATTCCTGAGGAAAAGAGTAAGGAAACAATATTTCTCAAATTTCTGTATGTCAGATAAGTTTGTGTCTTTATATTTCAATTTTATTGGATGTAAGTACTGCAGTATGTGGTTTTCCTTGAGTATCTCCAAAAATGTTACACTATTTTCTTCAGACACAAGGTATAGTTGTGGAAAAGTATGATTATCACCTTTTTCTTATATTTCACTTACTGTTGCCTACTCAAAAAAATTTTTTTTCTTCCTTTAAAGTCTTATGTCTTGTTAGCTGTTCTGGGTCAGTGATTTTAGGCATATGGTGTAATTTTTTAAATTTTACATTTTTAAAAACTGAGTTTTCTAGAATTAATTTTTATTTGACTCCTATTATCTGTATGTTGGGCCTTCTTTTCCTACTTGTCACTTTCTAATCTTTTAAAAAGTTTTTTCCACACTTCATTTTTTTCAAGGCATTATCTGTAGTACGTGTTGTCTCTAGTTTAGCCTTCATTTCTGAGATGCTTTTATTTCCAATGCTTTTTTGAGTTTCTTATTTCTGAATGTTTCCACTTTGAAATTTTCTTCGTATTTTCTAGCATTTTGAATTATTTATCACATTTTCAGATAAACTAGTTTTGATTTGCTCTGTGGGTCTTTCTGATAGATCTTCATTGTTAAAATGTGACTTCTGCTCTTGGTTTTTTGAAAATAAAAAGTATGAGAATTGACCTAAAAACTTTTCTATGCTTTCTAAGTAAAATCAGATTTTCTGAACTTTGAGAAGGAAGCATGATTTATGGGAGCTTTCACATTACAAATGTGTTCCAAACAGTATTCTGATGAGATTTTTTGGCTGACTGTTCCCTGTTCTACTTATATTTTAACCCTCTCCTTCATCTCTCACTTGCCCAATTTGGCTTCATTCCAGCAGTTTCTCTTCTGTAGGGGACACTGTTCTGGAAGTTCATGGTGAACTTGGCAAATCAATTTCAATACTTCATAGGCATTAGCTATTAGCTTGCTTCAGATCTTCCTGCAAGCCTCTTGTACTCACCTGCCAGTGAGATGGGCAAAGCCTTTTAGTTTCTTTTTTTTTGAGTTGGAGTCTCACTCTGTCGCCCAGACTGGAGTGCATTGGCCGCTGCCGGCCACCACAGCCTCGACCTGCTGGGCTCTGGCAATCCCTCCGCCTCCACCTTCCAAGTAGCTGGAACTACAGGCGTGCACTACCACGCCTGGCTAATTTTTGATTTATTGTAGAGATGAGGTCTCACCAAGTTGCCCAGGTGGGTCTTAAACCCCTGGACTCAGGCAATCCTCTCGCCTCAGCCTCCTAAAGTGCTGGGATTACAGGCTGAGCCACCGAGCCCGGCTTAGTTTCTCTTAATCAGGGTCTGCTGTGTGTGTTTCCATGTTACATTTGTTATACATGTTGCTCATGGATTTCTGATTTTACTATCCAGTTGCTATTATGTGAAGATTTGGAGAATAATAACTATGGCACTCTACTCTATTCCTTCTCTCACCCAGTTTTTTTGTTTGTTTGTTTTTTGAGTCAGAGTCTCACTCTGTCGCCCAGGCTGGAGCACAGTGGCACACTCACAGCCACCGCAGCCTCAACCTGCTGGGCTCAGGTGATCCTTTCACCTCAGTCTTCCAAGTAGTTGGAACCACAGGCGTGTGTCAACCAGGCCCAGCTAATTTTTCTTGATTTATTGTAGAGACGAGGTCTTGCCAATTTGCCCAGGCTGGTCTCGAACCTGTGGGCTCAGGCAATCCTCTCACCCCGGCCTCCCAAAGTATTGAGATTACAGGCGTGAGCCATTGCGCCTGGCTCTCACCCTATTTTTAAAAGTTTTCAAGACCAATCCTGTTTTCGGCCTTACTCTGCAACTCTGGCTTGAGGAATCTACATGTTTCCATTTATTGAGCCCATCTATACCTCTTGTTAGCTTTTGCCAGCAGAAAAATTATCATTTCTTTGCTAAATCACCACTTATCCTTCAGTTTCTTTTCTACGTCTAATGTCTTCTATTCCATTCTATTAACCCTTGTGGATTTACAGCATTTTTATTCCTTTTCTGCCATGTAAGTGGCATTTCTAGCGGGTGAAGAGATAGTATTTGTCACAATGTTTGATTTGCATTCCTAATTTGTTTTATAGCAGGAAACACAGGAAATTCAAATTCAAATCTGGTTTTGCTCTTTGGATTGGGTCTTTTCCAAATTGGGTTTTTTAGTTTTGATTATATAATTAATTCTGAGTCCCTTTTCCTTTAACCTCTATTATCATAAATACCCTTATAATTCCTCTACTTCCTGTCACTTCAGATCTTTACTTGTATAGCTGGCTTTCTTTACAGGAAACTACCTCGTTCTTTGGCAAGTGCACATATCACAGGCCCTGCAGCTTTAGTATCTTACGTAGTGTTTAGGGCATTTGTTTTAAATATGTGTTAAGGAATTTTTAGCCCACACTTCAAAACTGACACTAAAAGCTGAAGCTATCTTGAAGTTTACACTGTCAATCTGTAATCCAACCAAGCTCTTAAGGAATAACAGAGCATTATTTCATTTGTGTAATAATCTTTAACCCTTCCAACTACCCTTCCCATCCCAACAACTTTATTCTCAATTCAACCCTGAAGGATAGAAAGGTAGGTAGAAAAATTCAAAGCCTGGAGAAATGCAGTGACTTCCTCTAGGGTTGCATGCAGTATTTCATTTACCATCCTTCTACTTAACATTACAGAAATTTTTAGAGTAAATTTTTATAAACTCCAGGAGACTGTCGCAATTAGCATTAAAACTTCCAACAAAAAAAAACTGTCAAAGATAAAAATATTCTATTTAGCTTCTTATAAAAATATAAAAAGCTGAGCAAAAGAAACAGTTGCACAGTTAATATATAAAATGTATTCTATTTTAAAATGGCATGGAACTAAGAACAAATCTTTCAGGTTGGCAATTGCCTCTTTCCCAATGGGGACTTCAAATTGGTAAGAGTCTCTTGCAGGTAACAGCCTCCCAGCAGCTTGTATTTACTGGAATATTGCTCTCTGAACACGCACACATTCAGGTTTGTTAAATATATCCTCTTCTGTTTCTGGAGTTAGTTGGATGTTATCTTTGACAGGAGACAGAGGCTTCTTACAAGAAGGAAGCTTTTCAGAATCTCTGAAAAATATAATGAAATAAATGTATTGTTTTAAGGGTATTATTAGAGAATAATCCATCTGGACAATAGAGGTAATGTAAAAAGAATTCAACCCTTTACTGTATAATCCCTTGCAACTCATTATACAACACAGTGAGGTTCTCCTCTGAACATTCCCACTATATTTTGAGTCTTGTTTCTTAGTGCCCCTGCCTGCTTTGCAAATCAACTTTCAATGTAGGTGCTAGGCCACTACTATATATGTATTAGCTAAGGATATGATCCCAATGAACCTTATTTTCTCCTAGTGCCCTTTTCAGGTCTAAGAACCAGAATACATAAAGCATGAAAAAATGGTTAAGCCCTATCTTTTAAACTCTGCTGTCCTCCAACCCTTTCTTTTTTGCCGGAAGTTCTATGTCTATAAACAATAATCCTATTATAAAGATATTAAGGTAATTCTATCTTCTGTCTACAAAAATTAATTATTGGTAAGTCTTATTTTCTAAAAGGCATTTATTTAAGAATATTATTGCAGCCTTAATGTATCTCTAGAAGCAGTTGTCAAAATGTTTCTGAAGATTCCCAAGATTCTTTCAAGGTGGGGAGGGTTAAGATCAAAACTATTCTCACAATATTGAGACTTTAATTGCCTTTTTCACTGTGCTGACATTTGTATTGATTATGTTAAAGCAGAACTGAGTAAAGCAGCTGGCAACTCAATATGAATCAAAACAGTGACATCAAACCACACAATACTAGAAAGTTCTTCATGAAGGAATAAAAAGCAAAAAGCATTCATTTTTTAATAAAATCTCAACCCAAGCCGGGCTCGGTGGCTCAGCCTGTAATCCCGCGCCTTTGGGAGGCTGAGGTGAGTGAATTGCCTGAGCCCGCGGGTTCGAGACCCGCCTGGGCAGCGAGACCTCATCTCTACAATAAATCAAAAAATAAGTGGGGTGACAGAGTGAGACTCCAACTCAAAAAAAAAAAAAAAATCTCAACCCTTTGAACCCTCTGGTACACTCCTTTTTTTTTTTTTGAGTCAGAGTCTCGCTTTGTCATTCAGGCTGGAGTGCAGAGGCACGCTCATGGCCACTGCAGACTCAACTTCCCGGGTTCAGGCAATTCTTCTGCCTTGGTCTTCCAAGTAGCTGGAACTACAGGTGTGCACTACCATGCTTGGCTAATTTCTTCTATTTATTGTAGAAACAAGGTCTCATCAAGTTATCCAAGCTGGTCTGGAACCCCTGGGCTCAGGCAACCCTCTCGCCTTTGCCTCTGGGATTACAGGTGTGAGCCATGGCTCCCAGCACACTTCTTAACTTGTGGCACAATGGGAAACATACATAAAGCACTTCTATTGTGTATTAAAGTATGGTAGTTAGCTCAAGTAAAAGCATGTGTGACACTATGGTCATTTAAATTGAGGTATTTGGCAACGAGCATCTCTAAAATGAACAGAGACCCTATAACTTAAAAAAAAAAACAAAAAAAAACCACAACAGTAATTGTTGCCAATGATAAAATTCAAGCTTCCAAGTGAAATCAGAATTTTGAAAAGCTTGTGTCTGCCACTCAGCGGCTTTCTAACATGAAGGCTTTGCTGAGTATATTTTCTTATATTATGTGATAAAATATGCCAGTATTTGGAAGATAAGTACAGCTGAATGAACCAATATTTTCCAAATGACCAGTGAATATCATGCACAAGAGGCACTAAAAGTGTACCAGTGAATTGTAATATAACACAGGAGCACAAAAAGTCAGGTGATATGGTTTCATATTCCATGTTGCAACTAACCTGAAGAAACTATCACTTGTTAAATTTAGCTGTAATAGAAAGGGAGAAAATTTACAATTATCTAAAAAGGCTATTAGAAGACACACTTTCCAACTAAAAATATGTGTAGAGACAGACTTCTTTCATGTTCTTCAACCAAAACACTATATGACAACAGATCAAATGTAGAAGGAGATAAGAATCCAGTTGAGTTCTATTAAACCAAATAGTAAAGATTTGCAAAAATATAAAACAATGCTACTTTTCTCACTTTTGGGGAGTTTTAGAAAATATAGCTATTTTTCTTAAAAATATGCAATCTGCATTCATATCTAATAGGCTTACTATTGTTTTTTAAAATAAATATTTTTAAAATATCTATTTTAATTTCTATGATAGTTATGTGTTCATATGAGAAAACAACAGAATTATCTTTTAGAGGGTGGATCCTTTGTAGTATACAATCGGAATGTGTTCCTATGGATCAAACTGTCAACCAAAGATTTTATCTGGAAGTTTTGAGAAGGTTCCATCATGACTTGTGGAAGAAACATCCCATGTTGTGGCAAACAGGTAATTGGTTCTTCCACCATGACAACACACTGCACACCTGCCCACACTGTGCCGCGTATTCAGCAGTTTTTGACCAAAAACAGCACGACCCCAGTGCCCCACTCTCCTTATTCACCTGGTCTTGCCCTGAGCAACTTTTTTTTGTTTCCCAGGATGAAAAAAGTCCTCAAAGGGAAATGTTCTGCTCATACGGAAGAGGTGAGTTACATAAAAAACACCAAAAGCACTAAAAGGCACCAAAATTGATGAGTTCAAAAACTGTTTTGAGTACCGGAAAAAGCATTTTGATAGGTGTATTGCATCGTACTCTGAAGACGACTGAAGTTTCAACATGTAAGAATAAACACACAATTTTTAATAAAAAAATTGGTTTTTTTGGGTCTCCCTCCCTTATAAATAAGCCACACAGACAAAAGTGTTTTTGGGCCCTCAGTAATTTTTAAGATTATAAAGCATTTCTGAAAACCAAAAGTTTGAAAACTGCTGCTATACAGTTTAATCTTAGACTTTGCGCAATGTAAAATAAGAAATAATTGTGCAGTGCTTACTTATTTACAAAGTATTTGTATGAATATCGTCTCATCTGACTATGACATTTCTATCAGGTTAGGTTTAATCCTATCACTCCATAGTTTTTTAAAATAAACATTTTATTAGACTCAAGTACATTTCCTTTATTGAGAACAAGAAAATTAAACTGATGCTACTCGGAGGCTGATTTTGTTGTCTAACAGAAGGAAATGTTGTAAAAACTGTAACTTTATAGAGGATTAACTCTTTTTAAACACTGCTTGCTACATACATTATAATCATATAAACTCAATGATTCTCCCCATTTTAAATGTGGTGATCTAGGGAAGTATGTTATAGAACTATGCTTCCAACCCTTGTTTAAACTTTATTCTCATTACAATCCTGAGACAAAAAAATAAAGCTGAGAAACTTAAGGCCTGGAAAAGCAATTTGCTTTAACAACAGAGATACCCCAACACCAGACTGAAAACTGGGTTTACAGTTTGCCACATTTTTATGAAATGAAGATATAGAAATTTAAATTAATTATACTTATAAAGAGTTAGCTAAAGAGAATAGAGAAAAATTATTCTTTCATGATGAGAGAAACAAAAATTGATTCATACAAAACTAGAAAGCACTGGGAGAAAGGGATTAAAATTATTGAAAAAGAATAGTTTATCATATTTCAGCATAAGAAACAAGGTAACTCACTTTTTAAATCCAAAATTCTTCCAGAGCTCACTAATTTTTATCTGTAATCCAGGCTTGTTCTCAGCATTACGATGATTTCTCTTCTGGATGTTTGCTGGCTTCCTGCTCAGCCCACTGGCTCTGGCAGATATTAGAGGTTTGATCTTGGTTGTAGAAAGAGATTCCATAGAATTGGATTTATATAGCCCAGGAACCTGAAGATTAAATGTCCATTTTAAGACCATTCTGTTAAAACAACTGCTTTTAGTTAATTTCAAACTATTCTTCATACAGTGAAAAAGAAGAATTAACCATAGGCAATATGTTATAGCCTAAAAAATGTGCTAAATGTCTATTACAGAAATCACCATACTTATTTTAGCAGGTAGCATGTGCACCTGGCATAAAATTTAAGTTACAAAAGAATAGCGAGAAAAGGCAATCTCCCTCACTCCTTGTCTCTCTTTCCAGAAGCAATCACAATTACCAGTTTCCTGTGCATCCACAGAATTATTCTTTCACATACACACACACACACGCAGCATACTACACACTGTTGTGTATTTTGTTTTTTTCACATAATAAATCTTGATTCTAGTTAACAATGTATCTTAGAGATTTTTCCATTTCACAGGTAGAACTTAATTTTATTTTGAATAGGTCTCCTGTTTTTTTTATTGTATAATTGTGCCATAATTTACTTAAATGAATCTCTATTGACATTTAGGCTGTTTCTACTCAAGGGTTGATTGTTATCCTGTGGAAGGAATGGAGCCATTGAAGTTTTGCTGTTGTTTCCTAGAATAATAAGAATGAGGTATATAAAAAGTTTTACAATTGATAATCGGTAGAGGGTATATAAAAAATGGAAAAGTTAAAACAAAATAAATGTTCACAGAGAAAAGGTGAAATCCTGAAGTAGGGTGTTGATAATGGGAAAAAGGGGGAGAGCAAAAAACAAGACAAAGAAATACATGTTAGACTTTGGAACGGTATCGATGTTTGGGTTTTTTTTTTTCTACCTGCCGAAGAAGGATCAAGCTGGCACCTATAAAGAAAATGGACAGTCCAGGTGTAGTAGCTCATGCCTATAATCCCAGCACTGTGGGAAACGGAGGTGAGAGGATTGTCTGAGCTCAATAAAGATCAGCCTGACCAATATGGTGAGATCTCGTCTCTACAATAAATCAAAAAATTAGCCGGGCGTGGTGGCACTGCCTGTAGTTCCAGCTACTTGGAAGGCTGAGGCGGAAGGATCGCGCAGCAGGTCAAGGCTGCGGTGGCCGTGAGCAGCGTGCCACTGCACTCCAGTCTGGGTGACAGAGTGAGACTCCGACTCAAAAAAGAAAGAAAGAAAGAAAAAGGACAATCCCTAATGTTTTGAAACTAAATGACAAAGAAAATAATAATTTCTTATTTAATAGATAAAAAACAAAAACATTCTGAGAAGAAATGGTTAGGGCAAAATATGGGATTTGATTTTAGATATTAAAGATGGATATCAGAGAGTGTTCACCTAGAGAGTCATCAAAACAGAAGTAATGGTTAAAACCTTGACAACACAAATCTCTAAGAGCAAGAACAATAACAAGAAAATGATGGTTTACTGTTTAGACACAACACCTTTTGGCAAAGTGCTTTCTACAATTCTAGTAATATCTATTGCTGCAAATAATTTTGTAAGTATTCTTCCAAGCTTTTTACTATGATTATACACACATACACATGTGTGACTAAATATTTTTAAGTATTTAAACAAAAACACCATGTTGTACATACTGTTTAACATGTTTTTCCTTTTCAACTCAAAAAATAATGAGTATCTTCCCAAGTCCATATATACATTTGCAAAAGCCTCCTCAAAGATTTAAAAAATAATCTCATATGTTTTACACTTATATCTTTATTTGTATCAGAAATTGCTATGGATTGAATGCTGTGTACCCTCAAAATTATGTTGAAGCCCTGACCCCCAGTGTGATGGTATTTGGAGGTGAGACCTTTGGGAGGCAATTAGATCATGAGAGTGGAGCCCTCACGAATTAGATTAGTGTCCTTATAAGAGACATGAAAGAGATGATTTCTCTCTCTACCACATGAGGACACAGCAAGGCTGTGGGGGAGAGGAGAGGCAGTGGTGGAAGGAGTGGTAGTCGGAAGTGGACCTCACCAAACACCAAATCCACTGGTGCCTAGATCTTGGAATTCAGATACTGGACTTCCCAGTCTGCAAAACTGTGAGAAACAATTATCTGTCATTTAAGCCACCCAGTTTATGGTATTCTGTTATAGAAGAATATTGTCTAAAACAGAATTTATATTTATATTGTGTGAAATAAAGATCTGTCAAATAGATATGCAATAGATATGCAGACCACAAAATTTTTTTAAAATTTTGTGCTACTGAAAAAAATAGTACATGTTCACTGTGGAAACAAAGAAAAAAAAAACAGAAAAAAGTTCAAGAGCCAAAACCAATGATTATTTAATAACTCACTCCCTTACTGTTATTTAGATTAGTTCCAATTGTTCACTACTGTAACCAATGCAGTTTTAAGTATTCTTGTACTTAAATTCTCAATGTTTCCTTAGGCTCAAGTTTTAGGATGCACTTACTGGTATAAATTGTTTGACCTCTTTCAAATTGCTTTCCAGAAATGGCAGACCAATTCTTTCTTAAATATATGATTGTTTGTCTTACTATACTCTCATTAAAAAAATATAAGTATAAATAAAAATATATTTTTTGGAAATATGGACGGGCAATAGTTGTGTTTTATTATTTTAATTTGCATTATTTGATTTCTAATGAGGTTAAACATGCTTTTATATATTAATCAATTGTTTGTACTTTTTCTTTTGTGATCTCTGTTAATGACCCTGGTCCATTTTTTTAAAGTTAGAAAAAGTATTTTTATATTGATGGGTGAGAATACTTAATATATAAAATATGCTTTAACTTGTGAGTTTTCACTATGTAGAAACACAAATATTTATATATTTTGATTTAAAAAACTGGCTTATCATGGGTATAGTTTCTAATGGCCTTTTAACAATACACATAAAACAAATAACACATACCTTTGAAATTCATCCCTACAAATCAATCAAGAATCTGTTCTCAAATATAGTTTTTGTTTTGTTTTGAAGTTGGGGTCTCATTCTGTCACCTAGGCTGAGTGCAGTGGCATGATCATAATAATCTGGGTTCAGGCCTCAACTTCCTGAGTAGCTGGGACTGCAGGCACACACCATCACACTCAGTTAATTTTTTTGATTATTTTTTTTTTTTTGTAGAGATGAGGACTCGCTATTGCCCAGGCTAGTCTTGAATTCCTGGGCTCAAGCTATCCTTCTGCCTTGGCCTCCCAAAATGCTGGGATTACAGGTGTGAGCCACCGCACTCTGCCAAGAATATGTCCTCAAACATTGACCCATTGGTTGTAGCACTATTTGCTAGAGCGATATAATTTTTAGATAAGTGACAAAAACAAGAGGATTAACTCAATCATACAGTAGCATATTATATAGTTATTATAAGTAATGATTATCTAAGTACATGGACATAGATCTTTAATATATACCACAAGAGAAATTAGGTACAATCAAGCACAAACATGGTCCAAAGAAGTTTGAACGTAGACATTTTTGAATAAATAAAAGTACAGGTATTTTAATTTTTAATTTTGCTTGTATTTCTAATTGTCTAGTAATAAGAATGCATTTCTTCTAAAATAAAAAAATAAAATAAATGTTTTACCTTGTTCCTTAGATGAGTGTCTTTTTTCAAAAAATGAGATAAATGTAGTTTTGAAGTCTGATTACTTTGATTATCAAGTGATTTAATATTACAATCAGATTCCTAGATCCCCCAGATTAAAACATAAAATTAGAGTTTACTACAGAATTTTTATGAAAGCAAATCAATATTCAACAAAATGGAAAATAAGTAAAGCACTGGATATAATTAATTATAGAAAATGAATCTAATATGGAAAGGACGTCTGCCAGTTTCATTCAAAAAGCTAGCAAGATATTTTAGCTGAAGAAGTAAATTATATAAAATATATATTTAAAATTGAAGGTTTTTCTGAGCCATTAGAGGAACATATCAAAATGGTGACTTTATCTAAGGAGACTTCTTTTTCTGAGTCACCATTTTGACATGTTCCTCTAATGCTTTATCTACGTTTGGTTAATAGATTTCATAAGTTACTAGCTACAAAAAGTTGAACCACTGCAGTTACACATCTCTCCTTTTAATTGAGTAGCATGTTCAATAAAGAAAAAAAGGGGTGGGAGTGGTAGCTTATTGCCTGTAATCGCAGCAGTTTGGGAGGCCATGTGGGAGCATTGAGCCCAGGAGTTCAAGACTAGCCTGGGCAACATAGCGAGACCTTGTCTCTACAAAAAATATCAGACACCTGTGGTGGCACGTGCCTGTAGTTCCAGCTACTCGGAAGGCTGAGGTGGAGGGATCTCCTGAGCCCAGGAGGTTGAGGCTGTAGTGAGCTGTGATCAGGCCACTGCACTCCAGCCTGGGTGGCAGAATGAGACCCCAACTTAAGAAAAAGAAAAAAAGGAGAGACAGAGAGAAATAGTCTCTACTTATATATAATAGTATGGTATATGCACTTTTACCTTTAGCAATGACTTTACAACCTACCCTCTGCCCCCAATTTCATCAGATAAAACTCTTTTACAGATGAAGAGTTCTCTTATAATCTGTATTCCCACAAAGGTCAAATAAAAAAAAAAGTGAATGGAAATTCAGGAGACTTTACATTCCTGCATTTTCCCAAAAGTTTTTTAAAAATTAAATATTTAAATACTTAAATATTTAAGCTGGGCATGGTTGCTCAAGCCTATAATCCCAGCACTTTGGGAGACTGAGGTGAGATGAATGCCTGAGCCTAGGGGTTCGAGATCAGTCAGGGCAACTTGGTGAGACCTCGTTTCTACAATAAATCAAAAAATAAGCCAGGCGTGATAGCATGCACCTATAGTTTCAACTACTTGGAAGGCTTAGGTGGAAGCATCGCCTGAGCCCTGCAGGTGGAGGCTGCGGTGACCGTGAACATGCCACTGCACTCCAGCCTGGGCAACAGAGTGAGACTCTGACTCAAAAAAAAAAACTAAATTAAAATTAAATATTTATCTTGGTATTTTACTAGTATTTTATACATTAAAAAAAATAGTGAGAAAGTACTCCCATTAGCTTACAGAAATTCTTAACATTCCTTGCTCCAGGTTAACAGTTGTAATGCTCTAGGCTCAATTATTTCTTAAAGATCATGAGTAAGATGCCAAGATGACTTCAACCTCAAACAGGGTCAATGAACTCAACACACATATGGTTATCCTTTTCACAATGAACTACCAACAGAAGCCTCCAATATTAGCACATTTTCTTCAGAACCATATGATAAAAACTGACATTCAAAATGAAGTCCCACTGGCACTGTGGGGTTTTTGGAAACATTTTTAATAAAAGAAAGATTATATAATTTTTATGCTGACTGTCAGCATCTAATTCTTTGCAAAACATGGCTAAAAGCTCACAGCAAATGAAACAGGCAGATAAGTGCTGGAAAAAGAGAAAAGAATGCCTTGAAGGAGCTCAGCAGACAATATCTCACAAAAAGACAGTGATTTTTTTTCTTGTTTTTTGAGTTGGAGTCTCACTGTTACCCAGGCTGGAGTGCAGTAGCGTGCTCACGACCACCACAGCCTCGACCTGCTGGGCTCAGGTGATTCTTCTGCCTCAGCCTTCCAAGTAGCTGGAAATACAGGTATGCGCCACCATGCCTGGCTAATTTTTTGATTTATTGCAAAGACGAGGGCTCACCAAGTTGCCCAGGCTAGTCTCGAACTCCTGAGCTTAGGCAACCTTCTTGCCTTAGCCTCCCAAAGTGCTGGGATTATAGACTTGAGTCACCACGCCTGGCCTGAGACAGTGATGTTTTTATGAAAGATGTTCAGGAAATAACTGTGGTGATACCCAAATGGCACCAAGTGAAAATGCGTTATTAGGTAAAAAATCAAAAAGATGACACTAAAAAAGAGGTTCTGGTGAAAGAAACAGAGTCTTCTAGAACAGTATGGCCAGTTCTCAGTATGGGTGGACTGAAAGCAAAGAGAGAGAAAGGGAAAAGAAAAGCAAAAGTCTCAAAGGCAGCCAAGGGATTCGTTTGAAATACTCTTAAAAACATAAAAAAAACCCATATAGGACAGATTTTAGGTTCAAATATGTAAATTGATTTCAGTTTTTTCCAAATTAAAATTATTTCTGCATTTGAACTTGGATTTTTCCTTCCATTTACATCCAACACAACTCAAATTTCCTTTGGGAACTTGAATGAAATATTTTCTTTTTGAAAAATGGCTACATTGATTTATTAGATGTTGTTCAATATTTGGGATTACTAGACATCAAAATTCTGTCAAACAATATTATGGCTATAATTGCTCTTACAACTTGGTAATTATAGTTGGTAAAGATAAAACAACGTATGTTATACTGGTAAATTTGAGATAATTCAGATTTTAAAAAAAGCTATTATGCTATCATGTCATCAAAAAAAAAAAAAAATGTCCCTGGATTTTATAAGCAGTACAATCATGTACCACATAGCAACGGTTCACTCAACAATGGACCACATATACTGCAGTGGTTCCATAAGATTATAAAACTATTTTTACTGTACCTTTTCTATGCTTAGTTATGTTTAGATATAAGCATACTTACTTTTGTGTTACAATTGCCTACAGCATTCAGTACAGTAACATGTTGCACAGTTCTGTAGCCCAAAAGCAACAGATTACAGAGAAGATCTTTAAATGAATAAAATGTGAACTTTCTACACAGTAGGATTTAGAATGAAAAATTGAAATAGCCAGTCATGCCGGGCTCAGTGGCTCAGCCTGTAATCCCGCGCCTTTGGGAGGCTGAGGTGAGTGGATTGCCTGAGCCTATGGGTTCGAGACCCGCCTGGGCAACTTGGTGAGACCTCATCTCTACAATAAATCAAAAATTAGCTGGTCGTGGTAGCGCACGCCTGTAGTTCCAGCTACTTGGAAGGCTGAGGCGGAAGGATCGCTGTAGCCCAGCAGGTCGAGGTTGCGGTGGCTGGGAGTGGCCACTGCACTCCAGTCTGAGCAACAGAGTGAGACTCCAGCTCAAAAAAAAAGAAAAAGAAAAAAAGAAATAGCCAGTCATTTCTACAACATAGGCAAAATTTCCTCAGTTATCTGATTAACATTCTATTTCCTCTTACATATGAATTTGAAAACAAAGGTTTCATAATGTGACTTACCTCTGTATCAGAATCCTTACTAGAAGGCTGAGAAAGTTTTGATTTAAAACTTAAACTGTATGATGATAATTCTACACTTTCCTGGGACTGTGAAGAACATCCTACTTCATTTAAGGGATGAGATTCATCACCTGACTCATCACTCTTTAACTGAGACATATCAGACATATTATTCTCAGGCAGAGAGGTGGAGGAATCACTCTTCCTTCGGAACTGCTGCAATGCTGTGCTTGAAGAGGGGCTCAGGGTTTTAGAAAAATCTCCAAGACCCCCAGACCAACTAAAACAGCTTCTTAGTGTTCCCATGGTGGGTGGTGAAATGGTCCTTGTGAATTTGCTAGTCTTAAAAGACTGAGACACTTCATCAGTAAACACTGTTACAGCATCTGGAATCTGGTCACTTGAATTATGTGCTAAAGCATCTGGAATCTGATCACTTGAATTATGTGCTATATCGTCAGAAATCTGATCACTTGAATTATGTGTTATATCGTCTGGAATCCGGTCACTTGAATTACGTGCTACGTTTGTATTAACCAGTTTCTTGCTTTCTAGGTCTAGATAATCTGATTCATTCTGATTGGTCTCTTTCTCCAAGACAATGGTTTCATCTAGAGGATGGCTGCTCACGTTCTTTGATACACAGTCAGCAGAATCCAGAGAACTACAAAAAAACCTAACAAGAAAAAAAAAAACCCAGAAAGAAGTAAGTATTTTAGAGTTTTCTCAAAATGGTGTCAAGATTCAAAATAGAATAATGGTCTGGTTTCTTTTTGAAAAAAGTCTCATAAATACTTTATCAGTAACAGCATAAAGATTCTGAACATTATTCAAAATTTAAAATTTGATTATGCTGACATTCACACATTTAAAAATTTACTTAAACAATGAATTTTTAGATGGAACTTTCTAAAAGCAGTCAACTATATACACATGTATTTGGAACTTTTGTACTTTATCTATACCTAATCATACAGGTGCTCTTCCCTAAACTTTTAAATTCTCAAACAGAAGATAAACTCTCCGAGAGAATAGGGGCTAAAGCATGACTGACAGCCAAACATACCAACAAATATGGAAATATGCAACCGAAAGGATAATTTCCAATGTTTCATTATAGGATGCAAAATGAAAGAAATTAGCCACATACTCAGCTTTTGTCTAGCAATAAATCATCTGGGAATTTGTAGTACATGAATCTACCAGCTTGTTACATACTCTACTTCTACACTATTTTAAGTATTGAGATTAAGACTTTCAAAAAGATTTATTCCCAGAGAGTTTGGGGATTTAAAAAGAAAATCTTAGAGTACATGATCAGATAAATATAAAACCTGAGAATTTATCTTCTAAATAAGCATTAATTCAAATCCAAATGATGAACAGAATATTTACTAAAAACTTAAGAGCAAAAATCCTTTCTACCATTTCATCAGCATCCCCAGATAAGCTGTATGGGAATAGAGCAGGAAGCAGAACATGGAAGAACAGTTCCTGCCAGGTTTTTCACTAAGAAAACTTTAAATGGACAGTAGGCTGGGCACGGTGGCTTATGCCTATGATTCCAGCACTTTGGGAGGCCGAGGTGAGAGGACTGCCTGAGTCCATGGGTTCGAGACCAGCCTGGGCAACTTGGCAAGACCTCACCTCTACAATAAATCAAAAAATTAGCCAGGCATGATGGTGCATGTCTGTAGTTCCAGCAACTTGGAAGGCTGAGGCAGAAGGATTGCCTGAACCCAGCAGGTTGAGGCTGCAGTGGCTGTGAACACGACAGAGTAAGACTCTGACTCAAATAAATAAATAAATAGTAATTCCTACAATGCCCAACTATTCTCCTATGTATTATTTCATGAGTAAAGAGAAGTTATAATGACTGTGCTCAGGGTTAAAAAATTAATCAGCCAGAGATTAATTAATTACCATTCCAGTTCATGGCTGTTTCTTCCCAACTAGCTCATGTAACTTAAATGTTATTTCCATATCTCAAAAGATAAACTGATTGACATGGTTCTAGGATAATTGTTTACATAATGAAGATAATTAAGATTTAAAACAAACTTCCAAAAAAAAAAAGCTGAAAGATAGAAGACATTTACTCATTAGTTGCATATATTTAAAAAGAGAGGGGTGATAATGCATGCTTGCATTTATATTAATGACTAGATATTTGCCAACTGCTTGATATGCTGAGCTTCTATTAACCTTCACAATACCTTTATATATATGATCATCCATATTTTATAAAGAAATAGGCTCAGTGAAGTTAAATGGTGTGTGAAAGATCACTCAACTAATAAGATGACAGAGAACTCAAATCCAGGCCTGTCAGACTGTGTACTGCTTTCAATCCATCCCATCAACTATGACTAGGAATGTCTCCTATCACCATTACTAACTATACGACCCTGGGAAAGTTTAACCTCTCAGAGCCTCAATCTCTTAACCTCAAATAGTGAAAATAACACCAGTCCTGTGTATCTCATAATATTGCTGAGGAATAAGAAAACATTTAAAAGAACCCTAAAAACATATTTAATAATATCTAGTTATTATATGTTACTATATTACCCAGGTCAGAAAATTATACATCCCAATTATTATTTCACAGGAAGCTGATGGAGAAAAAAAGTCATTTCTCCAGGCATCTCTTAAAGCACCCTCTGAACACGTTACTAGTGAAACATCTCAAGTATATAAAGCAGTGATGTACAGTCTCACACTTGAGGATATCCTCAAGCTTCTTCAATGATTAAATAGGCAAGTCCTGTAGACATTATCCTCATTAGTTGTCTCCAAAAAGGAGTACAGCACTAAACAGCAGAAAAGGAAGAGTCTACTCTCATCCAAGTAGAAAAACAAAACCAAAGATGTCTTCAAGTTAGAGAAGTCAACTTTCTAGACATTTTGATCAGCACATATCATCGAGAACACCATTTTCCATCTTCTGTGGCCTGCTTTTTCATCTTCCACTGTTAACAAGCACCTTTAATGACAGTGACTTGCAAAAGAATAAAAATGATCATTTAATTGTACTTTACTGTGACTGTTTCCTTAAGACTACTCCCCTCTAGATTCCATGTTTATTAACAACAAAATTAATACCAACAGAATACCTGTTAAAATAGATAATCAACATTCTGTCATACCTGCTTCTGGTCCCCGGAACCACAACTGCACCACTTTTTTCATTTTTTCTCTGTAAAAATGTTGCAAACTTATTTCTTGTCCTAGGTGGTGTGCTTATGCTTTTGTTGTTAGTTGTCCCATCTACCAGGTCAGGCACAAATACTTCAGAAGAGTTCAAGGTTTTATTACTGTCACAGTTATTTTTCTTGGTCTTCTTTGTGAATGAAAAATACTGACCCAACAGATCATCTTCTGACAACTCTTCTAAATAAAAAGAAAATTATTTGTAAATCTCTGTTTCACTTGTAGTTAAAGATTTAGCCTTAAATTTCACATCTACATCCCACTATCCTAAGAACAAAATCTTATTTATTTGAAACTATGCCTCATAAAAGAAAACACAAGGAAGACTAAAAAGAAAAAAAAATTACTTGGCTGTGTTTTACAACTTCACAAAATAGTTAAATTTGTTATTTTTGAGTTGGAGTCTCCCTCTGTTACCCAGGCTGGAGGGCAGTGGCATGCTCACGGCCACCCAGCATCAATCTGCTGGGCTCAGGCAATCCTTCCACCTCAGCCTTCCAAGCAGCTGTAACTACAGGTCCATGCCCGACTAATTTTTTGATTTATTGTAGAGATGTCTCGCCAAGTTGCCCAGGCTGTTCTTGAACACGTGGGCTCAGGCAGTCCCCTCACCTTGGCCTCCCAAAGTGCTGGGATTACATGATTGAGTCATCGTGCCTGGCCAAAAGTTAAGATTTAATATCAATTATTTGTACAATTTTATGTTGAAATTATGCAAATCAAAATTTCAGGCATAATCAAGTTTATATGGCTATATACTAAGGGGCTTTTTTTTGTTGTTGGTAGAAACAGGGTCTTGCTCTGTTGCTTGGGCTGGAGGGCAGTGGTGTGATCATAGCTCACTGCAGCCTTGAATTCCTGGGCTCAAGTGATCCTCCTGCCTCAACCTCTTGAGTAGCTGGACTACAGGTCTATACCACCACACCCAGCTAGTTTAAAAATGTTTTTTGTAGAGATGAGGTTCTTGTTATGTTGCCCAGGCTAGTCTCAAACTCCTGGGCTCAAGCGATCTGCCTGCCTTAGCCTCCCCCAAAGTGCTAGGGTTACAGGCAAGCTAATTTTGAATGCTAAAAAAAAAAAATTTTAGTAAAGTTTATATGTAAATGCCAAGGGTACCAACAATATGTATACACAGAGAAGAGATGTTATCTACGTACTGCTTTTTGAAGTTGAATTGAATTATAGTAGCAATATAGCAATGTGCAGTATGATTGATTTCTTTAAATGTTTCAATAAAACCAGCAGCTGTTTATACATACCATCTATGTGTCATAGCTTTTGAAGTATATTGTGACTGTCATATAGTCAGTAATTTGTGCCCTAGCTCTGATCCTCATTATTTCACTATGAGGCCCAAGAAGATTGCTGTGTGTCAAATGTATTCCATGTTGTTAGAATAAATCATAAGACTAAAAAATAACAAAATAATTATCCTGAGATAGAGCATATAGGTGTTTTAAATTACGTTGACTAATTTTGAGTCTGACAGCTTCTACTCCACAGAGGTGTGAGTATACACTACTGTAATATTTATCAAGTCAATAAAACAGGTTATGCATATCCAAATACTAGAGACAAGTGACAATTCAAATTTTTTAAAGGTCTAGAGTTTTAAAAAGCTATATCAGCAAACTAGATTTTGATCCCTGGCAAAAGCTACAACTGTTTATTAGGCAGGGAATTGCAAATCCTCCCAGAAGAAGAAAAGACAAGTATTACAGGATCCCCCCAAGGCTCATCCAGAAGATGCCAAACCAGATTAGCCACATTTTATTTTCATGATACGGTTATTAGCATGGCTGTTCAGGAAAATTACACAGATCAAGACTATCTTGAATTTAGCAAGACATTTCAGTGTCTCTCATATTATCCTAGTGGATCATGCAGAGCAGTATCTACTGTATATTAGTTAGGGAGATTTGCAGCAAGTTGCACAGCCCTAAAAGACTAGGGCAACTGTGAGTCCAAAAGGAAGTATATCTCACATGCTCTAGATTTCGATACTTCCTCTGATTCAGTTAAACATTACATAAGCAAACACATTTTAACCCAAACTTTAAGATTTACCCCATTTTCAAATGACATAGATAATAACCATATATTAGAAGATAATACAAAGATTTTTAAAAAATTAACAGGCAGAACAATAAGCTAAACTAAAATTAACTAAACCAAAATTAAAATGAATCAAGATTATTGCAACATAAAGTAGTTAACTCGCATTTAAGTTTAAACTATAACTGTACCTGGCATAGCAGCAACTGACAAATTTCAAATTATAAACTCAGCAAATGCCAGCAAAATGACAAGATTGCTAATTAAAGCCACTACATCTTAGTTGCAATAATAAAAGCACAACCTCTAGATGATAGAATAAAATGGTGCCACAATTCTAAATATCTATTTTAAATCTATACTATACTAGAGGAAAATCTACAAGGCTATAGGAAATCACTTACGTAGAGATCCAAGAGACACTGAGAAACCACATTTCAACAATCATTCCCACTGTAACAATTACACAATTATTTTAAAAAACCGTATTATATCCAAAGCACAACCTGATAAACAAGGAACTTAGAGCCTGGAAGAGCAATTTAGGAGGGTCACAACAACTGTCTCTTAAAATGTGAAGGGCTGCCATAAAATAGAGATTCAACTTACTGCAGTTATTCTGTTTTTCGCATTTGTGTGTATGCCCAGAGGACAAAACTCATTGATGAGTGGTAGTTATAAGACAGTAGACTTAGTCTGACATAAAGAATTTGCTGATGATGAGTCATCTACATAAAATGAACAGCCTATCTGTAACATCAGTAGCAGAAGAAATACTTGTCATGTGCCAAGCGTTTTTATGTCATCTTATATAACATATACAAAGACTTGTGAAATAGGCAATATCATTCCCATTTCACATGGAGAAACAAAAGTTCAGAGATATTATCATGAAAAACATTTAGGTTCATAAAGAATCAGGATTTTAGCCAAACAAGTATAATCTATACCTAAATTTAAAAAATAAAAGCATAAACTAAAATTTTGCAAACATCTTTGTTTTATTTTTGTAGTTGGTAATTCATTCACTGATGTAGATGTCTGAGAGAAGGAAGAGATTACAACATATGTTCCATCTCTAAAAGTCTTCAATGGTTAAAAAAACCCAAATTTTCTCACTACCTAGTGTTTCACTCTCAGCACTTCTGTTCAACATTGTATTGGAGGTTCTAGCAGGCGAGAAAAATGAATAAAATGCATCTACTTAAACTGGAAAAGGAGAAGCAAGACTGTCTTTACTCATCAGTGACATGATTGTCTACATAGAAAATCCTATGGAGTATACAAAAGAGATACCAGAACTAATACGTGACTTTGGCAAGACTGCAAAATACAAGATTAGTATATAAAAATCAACCGTATTTCTATATAATAACAATAAACAAAGAGAAATCAAAATAACAAATACTATTTACAAAAGTATTAAAGATCTTAAACATAAGGATAAATTTGACAACAGATACGTAAGACCTGTACAGTGAAGACTACAAAGCACTAAAAAAAAATCAGAAATTGATCAGAAACTAATACTGCTAACATGTCAACCCTCCCCAGATTGATGTGTGGATTCCACTAAATCCCAACAATCTTTTAAAAAAGAAATCAACAAGCTAATTTTAAAATACATATGAAGATATGAAGAACACAGAACAGTCAAAACAGCTTTTCAAAAGAAAACAAACTTAGGGAACTTACACTACTCGATTTCAAGATTTCCTATAAAGCTACAATAGTCAAGAGTGCAGTTAATGCAAAAGGTAAAGAGAACAATGGCACAGAAAAAAGAGTTCAGAAAAAGACCCATATATGTTATCAACTGATTTTTCAACAAATATGCCAAGGCAATTAAATGGGGAAATGGTACTGGAACAATTGGTATTAGAACAGCTACACTTCCATGTGCAAGGAAAAGCACATGATGGAGCAGGCCTAAATGTGAGAGCTAAACCTAAAAACTTATGGAAGAAAACAGGAGAAAATCATAGTGATCTTAGGTTTGGCCAAGATTTCTTAAATATTACCAATACTCATTAGCATTTTGCAAAAACAAAATACATACCACTTCTTGGTCTTTTCACGATAGATGACTTCCTTGGAAGATTTAAACCTTTAGTACCAATCACTCGTTCAACTCCCACAGTACTTAGATTTTCCTTCAATCTTGTGGTACCTGAAACAATATCCAATTCTAGTCTGGGACTATAATTTCTATGCCAAATACTATTAACATTAGTTGATTTTTGACATATTTTGTCATTCCAACTATGACTTCTTGATTGGGCAAGCTAAAAAAGGAACAGGAAAAGGAAAAGTGTTACTTGAAGAAGGAAAATAACCATTTCCTTCTGTATCAACATAGATTATGAATATATTAAAAGTTACCTTAAAAAGATTTTTAAAAATTATTATTAAAAAAATAATGAGACTGCAGCTGAAGAATTATGGTCAGGAAAAAAGTGCCTTTCAAATGTGGGTATTTCCATACACAATATTACCAGTTTAATGACTTTGGTTCTGATTATCAATAGTTTTGAGGCTACAGGAAATCACTTATGTAGAGATCCAAGAGACACTGAGAATTCCTTGGTAGGTGCACAGGCGAGAGACCGGGGTACAGATGGAGGCAAATGGAGTGAAGTCCTAAGGACTTATTCGAGGAAGAAATGTTTTAACAGAATAGAGAACAGAGGATGAACAGAAACATGAGGAGAAAGAGGAGAATAGTGGAAGACTGTATCTCAAGGGATATATATGATTGGAAAAAGGTAGAATACAACAGTAAAGCGTTCAGAGACACGTAGCAGTGGTGCACAATAAATATTTGCTAAACTTTGAATGAGCGAAAAACCATTTTAATTACCAAGGGTAGTGTTTCTAGATTTGTGTGTATAATAATGCCAAATGTCAGAGGCTAAATGGGGTGAAATGAGAAAGAAGGCATCAAATGCTTAGTATGTTCAAGTGAAAGCTCAAGTCTAAAGATCTGAAAATATACAGCATGGTCACTTTGCAATTTAAAAAAAATTAATATACCTATGTTTTAAGAGGTAGAATTTCTCTGGGATTAAGTTGTTTTCAGTGTACATTCTGCACAGTGCCTAGATATAGACTTGCTTAAAAAAATGTTTTTAGTAAATGAAGATTTGCCTTTAATCACAGTTCCTGAGATGTAACTAAAATGTGCTTTTATATAGCAGTCATTAACATGTTACCGTAGCAGTGTCTGGATTGTAATCATCGATCTGTTCAAAAGTATTTATATCTTTATTTCCAAGTGCTATTTGAAGAGCTATAGAATCATCAACATACCTAATTGGTAAGATTAAGGAAAAATGCCTGTATTAACAACCAAACAATACTGTTTTAAAACACAAATATGTTTTCCATTGTCACAGAAAATCTTTAGGTTTATAACTTAAATGGTTCCTACATACTTTCTACATCAGCATTATCCAAATCACAGGCATAGTTTGCTAGCCTCTATTTGTCCCTGCAGGAGTTGGCTGTCTTCGGAAACAAAACCCCATGTCATCACTTCCTCTCTCTCTTTCAAGGAGTCCCAGCCACCACATAAGTGCCTCAGGGCTCTGCATCAGCCTGAGTGCACATGCCCAGTGGCTACAGGGAAGGCATCCACTCCTCTTGCACTCTAAAGCCCAGAAGGCTCCTCCTGATACATTGAGCTCGCTTGCCACAAGGGGTTCTCTCAAGTGCCACCTTTGGAATGTGTACCATAATGTGCACCATAGGCACACTCCTGTTAATCTAATTTGCACATTACAGCAGATGAGCTTCAGGTTTATAAATTAAAAGTTTATTCTAAATTTGTACTAGCAAGGTAACTAAGCTGAACAAAATACAGATTTCACTATAAAAAGGAAACGAAAACAGTTTGCTAGCTTTTTATAGAATACCTTACAATAATAGCATCATAAAAATATAACGAAAGATGCACAAAACTCTATCATTCTAGTTCAGAAAGGATACTGCCCAGCATAGCTTAGTGTTTTGGGATCAACATCATCTTCATAGGCATTCAGAGGGATGAGTTTCCTTTTCATGGGATCAAAAACAAGCTGATAAAGGAAAGTATTGTTGGCTCGAATAAATCCCTTGATGTAATCCTCTGGTACTGTTATGTTCATCTTGAGATAATGTCCAATTTTCTTAATAACCTAACAATGAATACAAAAATATTTTATACGCAACTGACGAATAGGGAACGTATTATCCCTAAGACTGATCAGTTTACCTTAGAGGAGCAGGAGAGACTGAAAAATCAACTGCTTTCACCTACAGCAAACAAGATCATGTCAAATCACTTAAAATTATGTCTCACAACTAATGTTTTCTTTGTTTTTTATTACTAATTCAAAGGACCTCAAATTCAGTTATACATCAAGTTCATATTCCTAGGTATAATTCTAAGATATTCAACCGCAAAGTCCCTTTTATTCAGAAAGCAAAAAACATACAAAACCTGAGAATTAAAAAAAACCCAAATATTCTGATATCATATTTTTACTTATTTTAATTATTAAATTATTTTTAGAGACAGGGTCTCACTCTGTCACCCAGGTTGGAGGGCAGTAGCATGATCATAGCTCACTGTAACCTTGAACTTCTGGGCTCAAGTGATTCTCCCATCTAAGCCTTGTGAGACTATAGGCACAGCCATCATACCTGGCCAGGTATGTTTAATCTTAGTTGACATTCTGACTTCTGTGTCATGGATGCTTAAAGCTGAAGGGATATTAAATATAATATTATATATCAAACTCACAGAAGAAGGGAAAACCCAGAGAGCTGAAGTAATTTTGGAGTAACACAGACTAGTCAGGGTATGTGGTGCCATTCCCAGCTAGAATAGCACCCAGTTTAGAGCTCTTTCTATGAAATTTTATTACCCTTAGCCCTGAGGACTCATCTTTTTACTCTAGGAACTAGAAAATGAGATTTCTGCTCTACAAACTGTAAAGGGCTTTTGAGAACTACCCAAGGGGGAAAATGAGCTTCTTTAGTGCAGTGTTTTGTTTTTCAGAGAAACTATATAGTAGTTTACTATATAGTAGATGTATGGAGTCTCAGAATTTTCCAGAGTATATATGACACATGATATCAAATGAGACTCAAAGAGAAAGTAGATATAGGCTGGAGTGCAGTGGCACAATCATGGCTCACTGCAGCCTCAACCTCCTGGGCTCAGGCAATTTTTCCACCTCAGCCTCCCGAGTAGCTGGAACTATGCACATGTCACCATGCCCAGGTAATTTATTTATTTATTTTGTAGAGACAAGGTCTTGCTATGTTGCCCAGGCTAGTCTTGAACTCCTAAGCTCAAGCAATCTTCCCGCCTCAGCCTCTCAAAGTACTGGGTTTAGAGGCATGAGGCACTGCGCTCAGCCTTTATCCAAATTATTTGAGACTAGTCAGTTCAGATTATGGAATATTTCTGTAAACATAATAAGATATCTTGGGGTGGGGATTCAAGTGTAAACATGAAATCTATTTTTGTTTCATATACCCCTGCACACATAGCTTGATGGTGTTTTTATATAATACTTTTAATAATTTTGTGTACTGCTCATGGGAGATCCAGGTGTGGAATTTTTCATTTGTCATGCTGGTGCTCAAAAAGTTTGGAATTTTGTAGCATTTCAGATTTTCAGATTTGGGATGCGCAACCTATATGCACATCCAGCTGTCTCTTATCAAGCCACATTAAAGAGATTTGCACACATGTTCAACTCTCATTTTTGTTTTAAAAAATATGGTTATGTTCATAAAAGCATGCTATTTATGCTAACATGCAATGAGTTTATTTTTATTTTTAATTTTTTTTGAGTCGGAGTCTCACTCTGTTGCCCAGGCTGGAGTGCAGTGGCACACTCACAGCCACTGCAGCCTCAACCCACTGGGTTCAGGTGATTCTTCCACTTCAGCCTTCCAAGTAGCTGGAACTGCAGGTGTGCGCCACCATGCCTGGCTAATTTTTTGATTTATTGTAGAGACAAGGTCCCACCATGTTGCTTAGGCTGGTCTTGAACCCATGGGCTCAGGCAATCCTCTCACTGCTGCCTCCCAAAGTGCTGGAATTACAGGCATGAGCCACCATGCCCGGCTGCATGCAATGAGTTTATTATAAAGTTTAAGCAAATTGATAAAACATTTATGTCTGTTTCTATTTTTAATTTAGTAAATATCAAAAGCTATAAATAAAAATTATTGTCGGCTGGGCTCAGTGGTTCAGCCTGTAATCCCAGCACTTGGGAGGCCGAGGTGAGTGGATTGCCTAAGCCCGCGGGTTCGAGACCTGTCTGGGCAACTTGGTGAGACCATATCTCTACAACAAATCAAAAATTAGCTGGGTGTGGTAGCGCATGCCTGTAGTTGCAGCTACTTGGAAGGCTGAGGCGGAAGGATCGCCGGAGCCCAGCAGGTTGAGGCTGCGGTGGCCGGTAACGGCCACTGCACTCCAGTCTGGGTGACAGAGTGAGACTCCCACTCAAAAAAAAAAAAAAAAAAATTATTGTCACAAGGAGCTTCTAAGAGTATAAAGGGATCCTGAGACCAAAAAGTTTGAGAACCACTGCTATAGAGTAATAAGACAGAAATCAAGACTACGAGTTTAACATTAATATTCCCCTAGATATTTTGCCTTTACATATCTTTATATTGAGTGGTTTAGACTGTTATGAAAAAAATGCTTCAGAAATTAAATGTGGTACATGGTAAATCACTCTTACCTTTACAATATCTGGATTATTGGCTAGCCTCAGTACTTTGCATGCCTTTGCTAATCCAATCCCACGCAGTGAGGAGAGATAGTCACAGCCTGAAAGAATACACATGTACCGAAACTTCTCTTCTGTGAATACATCCCCAAGTTGTTTGCACATTCCTAGTCGAGCTTGGTCAATTTCTAGTCCATTTCCAAAGTGATCCATTTTCAAAATCACCTTTAAAAGGAAGAGAAGTTGGTGAGACCTAGAAGGGTCACTTTTATTTATTATCGAACCCACTGCAATAATCCTAAGACATCTTTCTGGCTGTTCTTCACCAAAACACCGAGAGATAAGAGAGGCGGGTAGACAGGTTAATTATTACTAAATTTACAAATAATAAAACTGAAGCATAGGATATGCCTAGACAGGGTTATTCAACCAGGCCTCAACTGTCCTGAGTCTGTCATAAAAAAAGCCCTTTGTGTCCCTCTCTACTTCCTACGTCAGGGTTGTCACGATGATCAAATAGTATAATGCACACAAAAAATTTTTTTAAATTTCTCCCTCCTCATCACTTTTACATTATAATAGAATTCTTTGTATTATTATTAAAGTAATATATGTTGATTATAGAAAATTTAACAAAGATAGAAATTCAGGAAGAAGAAAACAGAAGTCAACCATAACTCTTCATTTATCACTATAAACCAGCATTTACCTTTTATATACTACTCTAATCATCTAAAAAAATATAGATAATAAATACAGGCATTCACAAAAAGGAGATGATCCTATTATGATAAAGTTTTATATCTTAATTTCTCCCCTCAATATATCATGATACAGTTTTCCATTATACAGATTTATACATAATTATATTATAAACAACTGCATAGCATCCCTTTAGTAGATAAGTTAATTTGCCTAACCAAATAGAAAAATATAAAGCATATATTATCATTATTAAAAAATAAAACTGCCAGGCATAGTGGCTCACACCTGTAATCCCAGCACTTTGGGAGGCCAAGGTAGGAGGACCACTTGAGTATCGGAGTTCAAGACCAGCCTGGGAAATATAGCAAGACACTGACTCAAAAAAAAAAAAAAAAATTAGCTAAAAGAAAAAAATCTTTTTTTTTGAGTTGGAGTCTCACTCCGTTGCCCAGGCTGGAGAGTAGTGGCACACTCACAGCCACCCTAGCATCAACCTACTGGGCTCAGGCAATCCTTCCGCCTCAGCCTTCCAAGTAGCTGGAACCACAGGTGCTATCATGCCTGGATAATTTTTTTATTTATTGTAGAGATGAGGTCCCACCAAGTTGCCCAGGCTGTTGTTGAACCCGTAGGCTCAGGCAATCCACTCACCTCGGCCTCCCAAATTGCTGGAACTGCAGGCTTGAGAAAAAAATTTTTTTAAATAAAAATAAAACTGGTAAGTCTACATTCTACTGAAGAATATGTACAAAACTACAATAAGACACTCCAACATAAAGAACTACATTTAAAAAGTATCCAGATTACACAAATGTCAAGCAGCAAAACCTTTCCATTTTAAATAATTATTAACATTATAAAAATAGATGTTAACTGCACACGTTAAGTAAAATACAATAATTATCCCTAGAGAGAAAAAACTTCAGCTTCTTGATTTATACTACTTCTATCTACACAGAAAAGTAAAATGCAGTTGCAGTTAGGTACCTTTTTACAGCCAAAAGCTAGGAGATCAGAGTCTTCTGTAATTACAGCCTGTACAATACCAGCTTTGTTCAGATAGGCCAACTGTGCATCAGCTTCATATGGAGCCACGAGGCAGTCTACTCCCTGAGACCGAGCAGCCTGGGAGAGAGGATCACAGAGAATCTGTGGCACAGGACCTGGAAAGCACTCAATGACTTCCTGTTTCAAACTCAGTTTACTACTAGTGTCAACAAGTACATGCTAATATTACTTTCAGAAATCATTTCCTGTGAAGTAGAGTTTTTCTACTTTTAGTTCTAGTATGTGTTGAATTAGTCATATGGCCACTAAGAATTTCTTAAAAATCTATTTTAAATTTGAAAAAAAATAAGGCTACATATTCTGAGGGGGGGATAAAAAACTCTCTAAGCTGCAAAATTGATTATTTCAAACTAAAGAAAGCTTCCATCTTAAGTAATGGCTATGTTCCAAAAATAGACAAGACATTTGTTTGGAGCTATGAATATATTTTCCCCATAAAAATAACAAGTTGCCCTGCCAGGCTTTAGGCTTTATCTGACACTGTACTGATAAAATTATAGACCCTAATCACTCTATTTAAACCAAGGTACTATGAAAAAATACTTTAAATAATCTTGCCGAGAAAAAGTCCCTACTACAGTCAGTTAGAACAGGAATTTCCTGTTGCAACCATGGAGAACAGTCTCCAAGTCCCGAGGAAGAGTTTTGGGAAGTAAAAAAACAGGGAAAGAGGTATTAAGATCTTGCTACCATAAATTTAGGTGACAAATCGCAATCTGCTGTTTTCTTTTCTTTTTTCTTTTATCCTTTTCTACCACTATTTGTGTCTAATCAAGTTTTCTCTCTATTTCTACACACAATGCAGCCTCTCTTCCTGTGGTTATATAGAGCACATGCTTTTACTTCACACCCTCTTTCAGCCCATCCTTCCCTTCTACTTTGACCCATACAGGAAGAGCAAAGGAATACCTATGAAATGGAGCCAAAATAAGAATCTTAGTGCTTGTTTTAGCTTAGGAACTGACGGCAGAACTGTAAGCTTAAAAAAAGGCTGACTCTACCTTTATCACTACATCTTTACCAAGCAGTTTGAACAAAGACCCTGGAAAGGAGAAAGTGAGGGCTAGGACTATGGGTAGACTGACACTAAGATTTACAGAGGTAAGGAAAGAAACTTCTACACAGAAGTAGATGAAGGAGAACCGGAGCCTGCGGGGTTCCTGAGGGAGGAAGGCTAGTTGACAGATCTCTGATTGACATTCAAGAGTGAAGGTCACAGTGAGAGCTGAAGGCTACATGAGAGTGGGGTAAGACTACAGCCTTCAGGAATTTGTCCCTTCTGTCTCTATGGGACAACATGACTACAGAGTTTATCCAAGTCAAGCGTCTCAAAAGGGAGAGCCTCACTTATTCCGTAGGACTTCTCCATTGGAAATTGTTGGATTCCTCTCCTCTATCTAAGGATACTGTTCCCTTTTCCCTCTGACATCTGCTCTTCATATGAAGTCAGGCCTAGAACAATTTTCCCCTCTTGATTGTCTTCCTTTCCATTAGTACACAACTTATGCGAACTTAGCCATTTGTTCCTTTGGCTTTGTTTTGACTTGCTTACTTTAATTACTTTGTGGGCCATTGCATGTGTGATATTGATAGAACGGGTAAAACATTCTCGGGCTTCTGTAACTTTCCCCTCACGAAGAAGCTGCTTTCCTTTAAGAAGACTGGCTTGCCGTCTTCTGCAAGAAAAGAACATTTTTTAAATATAAAAAATACTTAAGAGGCAGACTCGAGAAACCATACTAAAACCATAACTCAAGAAACTTTCCTAGAATTAAAAACAAGTTTGACTCATTTGAAAGTGCACACTAGGTCCCTGAGAATATTAACCCAGATCCTTTGGACTATTGAGACAAAGAGAACGAGTGATTTATAATGCACACATGAGCATACATGCACAAGATTACCATTAGACTTTACCACAGCAATGCCAAAAGAAAATTCAGTAACTAAGACAGTTTTTTAAATAAATTAGCACTCAAAAAACAAAAGAAAATTTGTTCATATAGTAGACTATAAGTTTAAACAAGTCAAAATTGCATTTTATTTTGTTTATTTTTTTTTAGAAACAGGGTCAAGCCATATTGCCACAGCGGCTATTCATAGGCATGTTCACTACTACAACCTTGAACCCCTGAGGCCAAGATATCTTTCTGTGTCAGCCTCCCAAGAAGCTGTGCACCACTGCTTTTGGCTTAAAAGTTTTGAAAATTGGTATCATATAGACTATATATATAGCATCTGACCTTAATAAAGTTAAGTTAGAGATTAAGTAGAGAATTAACTTACTCTCTTCTAGACCTCTCTACTTCCTTTTTAGAAGGTAAAGTACATCCATCAAATACGAGAATAGGCTTGATTCCATGAGACAGTAACATATTTACAAATTTCATACAAAATCCTACATACCTATAGAAAAAAAGAAAAAAATGCATTTAAGTGCTTTTGCTTTCTTAAGGTAGTACTCGTGCTCTATTTTAAATCAGATGAGACAATAGTGCAAAGAGAAGATTTTTATTTTGCTTTTCATGTAAATATTTGCATAGAAAACAGAAACTCTAACTTATTAGACTTGGGTTCAAATCCTGCCCCGGACACTTATGTGCCATGTGATGTCTGGAGTTACTTGACTCTCCAAACCTTGGTTTCCTTATCTCCAGACTAAATAGCTTTAACATCTCTTCTGACATTTTTGGTTCCAAATCTGGTCTTTTCCCTCCATCTCTTTTTCATTTTAAAAAATTTCAAATCTATTGAAAAATTAAAAGAATAGAATAGTACAATAAACACCCAATTCTTCTAATAATACCATATCATATCCAAGAGATTTAACAGTGACACAATAATATTATCTAATACATAGTCTATATTAAAACCTGTCCAATTGTCTCAGTATTGTTTCTCATATCCAGTGGTGTCCTGGTAAGTGTTTAACAACCAGTTCTAGGGAAGGGATGCTGGATTTCTCCGGCATTGGGTAAGTTACCTATGTCGAGTCAATGAATGCTAGGCTGAAAAGAGATAGTGCATAGTAAGCTCATATGAGCTGGCTCTAACACACCATTGCTACTGTTTTCCCCAAATCCAGGATCCAGTCAAAGATCACATATTGAATTGTTTTTTATTCTAATAAGGCAACTAACCAAAATAGCTACATTTATAACTCCCATCATTTCACAAAGAAAAGGACAGTTTAACTCACAAATAAGAATAGAAAGCAAAATCTTAAAAGACAACCTTTTAAATCAAATGTGGTCACCTTAATGAAAGACTCACAACATTATCCTTATTTTTCTATTTTCTATAGATCAGTGACAACGAACCTGCATTGGTACAGTACAATAACTGGGACTTGCTGATTATCAAGCAAAATTTAGGAGAAAGCAAACATAAAATTATAATAAATTTTAAAAAACATTTATTTTTTTCTTTTTTGCTAACAGGGATTAGCAGTGTGTTGTTACTATCCAAGAAGGCAAGAACCAAAATCATCATGAATTTTTAAAACATTGTTGAAAAGCTTATTGTAGGTAAAGAATAAAGGAGGCAGTCTTTGGTGTTTATTAATTGATATCCTGATACTCTGACTTATTACAAAACATTAAAACTAAACCTATATCACAGAAGAAAGTCATCCTTGATTTGGCAGATCTTTTAAAACAAAACACTCTTCCTTCTTGATAAATTCTGGCACTGAGTGAACACAATCTGTTTCTGGGGGAAAAAAATCTCATTCTTAATTGTCCAAGAATAAATATAAGGTCCAAACTTACCTATCAGAGGGTTCACCTTTGGCTAGTTTTTCAGCACAAGCAATAGCTCCTTTGTGAAGCCAGCAATAGGTATCCACAGCTACTACCTGCCCTTTATACTTCCTCACATGGATGGGTTCAGAAGCTTCTTTGATAAATTGCAGCAATCCGTGTATCCCCATGGTGGCAAATCAACTAAGTGACATGAAAGGAGAAAGGGAAAACAGCAGGATTTAAAGTAAAATAAATTTACCAAAGTTTTAGAAAACAACAACAACAACCTTTGAATCCAATGCAGAAACTGTTATTTTTCAGATAGTTGAATCACTACTCTCTAATATTTTAACTGGGGTCCTCCCTGTCAAACAATTTCCATATTTTAGACTTTACATTAATCACCACATCTAATGCAACTTGACAGTTGCCTAATATTTCTTTCCAAGTGCTTTCACACTTGTTGTCATAATCTATGTGCCAAGGTGCCAGGCACATAGAAAGAGCTCAGAAAAGTATGAGACAATTTCCTCGTCAAACATGCATTGTTAAAATCTACAAAACTGCACGAGTTATGGCATCACATTGCCTCTATAAAAGGCATTATGAGTGCCAACATGCAAATTCACATAAGAGTAGAACCTTCAAACAGTTTGTGGAAGGGTAAGCATTTCAATTAAAAAGTAAATGAAAAACTCAAACAGAATTATAAAAACAAATCCGTACTTCTTTTAGGACTGAAATTCATTGCCACCAGAATGCATTATTCCAAGGACGAACATTCTGGCAACAAGCAGTGATGGTGCCTAGTGGCAACTCCATACACTGAAAGTTACCCCAAAGAATCGTAAAACTGTGCACACTATGCAAATACAGCTTCAAGACAAATGCTTTCATTAGCTTCCCACCCCCTTCCATCCAGGTTTCAGCCTTCCAATCTCTTTCTGTACAAAAATTCTGGAATTGCTACAATCCTTTCTGAAGAAACTACTTCTCCCCACTCCCTATGAGAAGTCAACAATGGGAACTGAACAGTTGCTCAGCATTTCATAATACAAACCTCTCCTGCCAAACATCACGTTTGGAAGAAAGGAAAGAAAGTCCAGGATCAGAAGTCGGCTTACCCTGTGGACACCTTATCAGAGCTCTGATGCTGAAGTCCAGCAGTTCTCAAATTTCAGAGAAAAATCTCAGTTCACAGATTCTCAGCTCCACTCCAGGGATTGACTCACCACTTCCGGTGGAAGGTGGGGGACTCGGAATTTTATGCACGGCAGGTAATTTGGATGCAGGTGGCCCTCAAGCCACAATCTGAGAAAAACACTCTTACCTCCCTGATGGAATGCCCGCCAAAAGTTTTCTTTCACTCGGAGGAAAGCAGACATAACATACAGTATGTGAAATTTACGCAAGTGTCTTCTAGGCCAGGAAAATATCCTCGAATAAGCATTTCCTCTTTAGTATAGTAAAGACGGCTGGGCGCCACACGGCACAATCTCCAGGAGATCACAGGTGGCACCCGAGGAGACAGCAACAGCAGCAATTTCACCTCTTTACGTCTCGGTCCCGCGCAGAGATAGAAGCGCAGGCGTGGCCCGCACGCCCGTTCCAGGCCACACGCTTCCTCTGCCTGCACAAGAAGGAAAAAGGCACTTGTCAGCATTTAAACGTAGAAGCTTGCATTTAAAAACTGGACTGCCAGCTTCTGCGTAAAAACAAGAGGAGCCTGACAACCCCGGAGGCCACTCCCGGCGGGAATGGGGAGTGATCGCAGCCCTAGCGTGGCCAGACGTTCCCTCGGAACCAAACACCACATACGCCCCTCGGACTGCGGGTGTGGCTGTAGGGTCGGGAAGACCACGCCGACTCGCTCCTTCCCTTCCTGGAAGACCCCGAAACCCGAGAACAGGGACGGAGGGGACGCGTAGATCGACCCCGCGGGGAGCAGGGGGAACCCACCCATCGGCCTCCGCACAGCGCGCTCCTCTCGCTTTCCGAGAAGGGCGCTCCCCCGTCTGCTCGAGGGGAGCCACATGGGGGTCCAGGAACCCGCCCCCGACGCCCCTCACTCACTTCGGCCAGAGCGACCGAGGCGGGCGGCGCAGAGGAAGATAATCCGGCGGCAGCCGCGCGCGAAGGGCCGGCCTTTCAATTTGCGCGGGATTGCCCGCGGCCCCGCCCAGCGGACGTGACGTCAGCGTGCCCCGAGCCGCGGGCTTCGTCTCTCGCGGCCTCCCGCTCGTGGGATCGGATCCTGAGCCCTCTGCCCCGCTGGACGGGACAGCGGCCGGCTGTCCTGCTACCTCGGCCGCGGCTGCTGGCCCGAACTCCATGCAACCTCTCGAAGGTTCGGGCGTACCGGGCGCGGTCGGCCCGTGGGAACCACGCCCCGGAAGTTGGGGGAGGGTCTTTGCTCTCGCCTAGCCTGCTGGGAGTTGTAGTTCTCTCCTGAACGGCCGCCTCAGGTGTGGGCGGCTGAACTTTAAAGGGCGCCGCCACGTGTTTGTGTTGAGGGTTTTAAAACCTGGAAAGGAGCCCCGCCGACATGAGCCCCTATAGTCCCGTTCATCACCATCGGCCCCACCCAGTTCCTTCTTGCTCTCTTTTATTTATTTACTTATTTATTTATTTTTGAGTTGGAGTCTCACTCTGTCGCCCAGGCTGGAGTACAGTGGAACGCTTACGGCCACCGCAGCCTTCACCTGCTGGGTTCAGGTGATCCTTTCGCCTTCAGCCTTCCAAGTAGCTGGAACTACAGGCATGCACCACCACGCCTGTCTATTTTTTTTTTTTTTTTTTTTTAATTGTAGAGATGAAGTCTCGCCAAGTTGCCCGGGCTGGTCTCAAACCCATGGGCTCAGGCAATCCTCTCACCTCCGCCTCCCAAAGTGCTGGGATTATAGGCGTGAACCACCGCGCCCGGTCCATGCTCTCTTTAAAAAGCCCACCTGTGTACCAATTGAAATTGAGTTCAGTTCAGCCTGGTTCTTTTTCCTGTTGCATTATTAATCCTTATTATTGATTCAAATCTGTCCTTACCACTTTAGTATCTGATTCCCTTTATTGTGGACGTTAATCAGGGGTATTTTTTATCTATATGACAAAATAAGACTGGGCACGGTGGCTCACGCCTGTAATTCTACCACTTTGGGAGGCTGAGGTGGGAGGATCACTTGAGTCCAGGAGTTCGAGACCAGCCTGGAAAACATAGCAAGACCTAGTCTATACAATAATAAAATCGATAATAACAATAATAAAAATCCTTGCCTTAGGGTGCAAGGACTTTTAAAGACATTTTGAATTTTGGTGGCCACTTGGGTTTCCAAACCTCATAATATCCCAAACCTAGTTGTGTCCTCTTAGGAATATTGTGGTGAATACATTTAAGAAGAATCTTAGGTCAGAAGGAGTATGCTGGGGCCCGTAGGTCAGCAGGAATGATGATTCAGACTCAATTCAAAGGGTTGAAGAGGAAGAAGTGGTACATCGTTAAAAATGCTCCCTATCTGGGTAACCCCTTTGGGTTCCCTCTCACTATGGGAGCTTTTCTGTCCTCTCAACAAATCCTGCTTTCTCAAAAAAAAAAAAAAAACCTCCCCATCTGATCACCTTTTCTACATGTTTCTCTCATGCTTCTTTCTCATGCTTCTTGGTATCATTGGTCTAACATCTGCCATGCCAATACATTATCCTAAAATTGTTGAAAAGCTACCACTTTTGGGGAATGTGTTTGGGAAAGTGGGGTTGCCTCCTCCCCAGTTCTCGTCTTTAGAGCTGAGACTAGAAGGGAGAATGAAAAATTTCTTTTCTCTTCCTCTTCCAACAGCAGAGGTGGACCTCACTCTGAACCAGCTTGGGGCAGACTCTAGAGGAGGGTGGGAGACAGTTCCAAACTGAAATAGATTAAAGAACTTAAATGTGGGTGGTATGCGTTTGTAGAGAAGGCGTCTTATAGTCATTGGACTACTCAACTGTAGTAACTACTTCAATACCTCATCTCCAACCAAGAACATGGGGGTCTTAGGAAGGAACCTCCAAATCAAAATGGTGCCTATTCCAGCTAGCCACACTGAATCCATCATAAAACTAACACAAGAGATTGCTGCACTGCAAACTACCTGCGTGTTCTACTAATTTGATTCCCAAGGTGCCAGACTTGGCTGTAGTGTTCCAAGACTAAAACTAAAAAAGAAAACGCCAGTTAAAAAAGATTTCACTGAACAAAATATTTTTGCTCTTTGGGAGGACAAAACCATTTGGATCAATTTGTACCATAATTTACTATACGCCTTAAGTGTGCCTGTCTGTGCTAGGTGATGGGCCAGATGTGAAGAGTTGGCCTATGTCTTCAAGGAACTTAGGATTTAGTCCTGCAGAAAAAATACAGGTTCCTCAAAAAGTTGAATCACAAATCATGTTGGTATGTTAACAAATTCTGAAATAATAGTACAGCCCATATATTCTCAGCTTAAGACTCAGTTCCAGTATTACCAGTTCCCAAATGTCTTTCTTCTTCTTTGCTTTTTTTAGGCGGTGTCTCATTTTGTCATGGAGGCTGACGTACAGTGACACAATCATGACTTACCACAGCCTCCACCTCCTGGGCTCAGGCAAGACTTCTACCTTAGTCTCCCAAGTAGCTAGGACTACAGGAGTGCACCACCTTCACCTAATTTTTTTTATTTTTATTTTTTGTAGAGACGAGGTTATGTTTACCAGGCTGGTCTCAAACTTCTGGGCTCAAGCAATCCTCCCATCTTGGCCTCCCAGAAGTGTTGGGCTGACAGGCGTGAGCCATTGCGACCTCTGGCAGGTGTCTTTCTTAAGTTGGACATCTGACATATACAAGCATCCCGTGATGACTCCATTGCCCTGACACTTCTCATATGCTCACTGTATTTTATTGACTTTGTCCTCCAATAAATAGTCTGAAAATCCTTTGAGGTGGGGTTGCCAGATTTAGCAAATGACATGAGACTCCCAGAAACTTGAATTTCAGATGGACAACATATACATTTTTAGCACATATAATTTTGGGGTCCAGCCCCTTTTGCCAGGTTGTGAGATCTCCTGAAGGAGAGACAGATAGGCGAAAGACAGACACAATATTCCCGGACACCTGCTTCCTGAAAAGATGACCTCCTTTATTAGTTAACAGAAAGCTTTTATAGCATTTGTAAAAGGGGCAAGACAAAGAAAATTCCTTCACGTATATATGTTTTAAAAGTTACCACCATCTAGCGGTCTTCAGAAGAAATGAATAAGC